TGAGAGGGATAAAACAACGTAACGAATGGTGTGTAGTACACCAACACAACATTTTATTGTCTCACGAGTCTCTCTTTCTCTCTCTCTCTCTCTCTCTCTCGCACTAACACATACTGACAGGTTCTTATATAAACGTGCATAACAATACTAAGTTGCTAATAATACGGCTGCCCGCGGCGGATGCATTTTCCTTCTTAACTCGAATCGCTGAAGCATTATAGCGTCCTTTCAATACTCACGACTATTTCTAATGCAATACATAATCATCCTAATTCTTTTTTAAGACAAACTATTGCCTCTCTCTCTCTCTCTCTCTCTCTTCTACATTACAAACTGTTTGAGGAATACATACATATCCTGTCGCGTGCTGAAATATTATAGAAAAAACATAAAAAACAAACCAATGACAATTTATCATACGATATAAAATAATCTTGTTCGATGTTTATTACTTCTTCTTCTTCTTCTTCTTTTCTTTTTTTATTAAAGATGTATTTGTCAGGTGTTTTCTTATTGGTTTTTTTTTTTTTTTTGTAGAACGAGAATCAAGATGAAGAAGGTGAAGTTTTCTTCTGGGATCCACCGTCGGTTAAAAATCGTAACTCGAAATATCAAAATCATAGTAGACAATTGCAAGAACAATTGGCTCAAGCCACCATGAAAATACGGGAATTGGAAGCTGAACTTAAACGAACTCAAAAGGTTTTTCTTTATATACATATGTGTATATTATAATATGTGTGCCCATAATTTTATGAATGTGATCTAATTGTAAATGATATATCTCTTGTTTCGAGATATATATTTAATTTCATAATTATGGGCACATATATTTGTATTGAAAAATCGATCGAAATGAACTAATTGATTTATCTTTTTTTTTTTTTTATTATTTTTAGGCTAACAATAATGGGAATATAATGGACGAACTTCCTGATGGTCATCATCAAAAGGCAGAATATTTGCGTGCCAAACAAGATATGGTCAATAGAATCGTACGAATGGAAGAAAAGGTAATGAATGATTGATCTTATTTTGTTGAATGTATCTTATATTTTCTTATAAATTTTCATGAATTTTTTTTCATTATAATATTTAGAATCGCGAGGTCGAAAGAAACGTAAAACGAATGCAGGAAGACGAAATAGCACTGGTAAACGATTTCAATACAGTCATATCGAAGTTGGATTATCAGGAAAAGGTCAAACTGTTTCGCGAAGTTCTGAGAAATTTGGAAAATGATAAACAAAAGTCATCTTTAATTGACAAGGAAAAAATGTACGATTCCATTGAGAAACTCGATAAAAGCAGTGAAAATAATCTATCGGAAAATTTGAAATTGGATTCGCAGGAAAGTTCTATGAGTAATAATAATAGGGAAGCTGAATTGTCTACAAAAATACTCGAATTGCAAAACGAAAATAAAAATCTTAATAACAGTATGGAAGAACTTGATCGACAACACGCGGAATTTATTGGTTTGTGTTAAAGAAAAAAAAAAAACAAAATATTATTTAAATTAAAAAATCGAATGTTATATATTATATACTATAATTAATTTATTTCGTGTTTTTTTTGTTTCTGTAGAAGAATTGTTAACGTTGAAAAAAGAAAACGAGAAGAAACATCAGTGTCTACAGAATGCATACGAACAATTATATGTGGAACACAATCTGGCTGAAGGTAAAGTCTTGGAATTGCAGAATAAACTTAGTACGATTGAAAGAAATAAATGTCATTTGGAAAAAGTGGAGAAAAATATTCAAACGGAAGAGGAGGAGGAGGAGAAGGATAGAAGAAAAAATGAAAAAACAATAAATGACAATGGTGGGGATGATGATGGTGGCGGTAATTCGTTGTACAAATTGGAACAAAAAGTAAAAGATATCTTGAAAAATTCGTGCATAGAAACTAACGATTCCAACGAGTCGATTTTCGAGACTGTCGCAAAAAGATACGTCGAGGCAAACTGGAAGAAGGACGTTTTAGAAAGGAAGGTAACTGAGATTACGCGAAATCTAAAGGAGAGCACCGAAATGAGGGACAATTTGCAACTGGAATGCGACGACATGCAGGCGCACATAGATTCGTTGCTTTTAGATATTCAACATTTGAAATTAAATTTGCCATCCATTCCTGAAGCTAGCGAGGAACGCGTGGCATCCTTGGAAACTGAAACTGAATCCTTGCAGGAGGAGGTTAAACAATTACGCCAAGAGAATGATAAATTGAGAAGCTTAAATGTTACAGAATCTGTACCGACATTCGAGAACGGTTTGATGATCAATTCAAACGAAAATTTATTCGATGAAATAAAAATTCACGCCACGGTTAACAATGATTATTGTAATATTTTTCAAAATGAGGAAGACTCTGTCGAAGATTTGAAACGTAGATTGTTAGAGTTCTCTAACGAAACTAGCGAATTGAGAACGTCTTTGGAAAAATACAAAGAGACAATAGAAGAGCTTAGATTAGGTAAAGAGAACATAGCTCATGAATTGAAAGCTTCCGTCTGTAATATGGAGGAATTGGAAAGGGAACTCAAAGTTACCGTGGATATTAAGAACGAGCTAGAACGTGAAAATACTGATTTGATTAAAGAAAACGAACAATATCAGGCAGATTTGATTAGGTTGAAAGCAACCGCCGATGATTCGAAAAGAGAAGAGAACGATTTGTTGGAACAACTTCGGGAAACATTGGAAAAAGTTAACATAGAGAGAAACGATTTGGAATATGATTTATTTAATATGAGGAAAGAACTGGACAATGCTTTGCACGAGGCAAATCTGAGGCAAGATTTGGTAGCTCGATTGACCCAAGAAAATGACAAATTTGTCAAAGAAAATGCATTCCTGTTAGATCAATTGACGGCCACTCAAGTAGAATCCCAAGAGAAGATAGAACTGTTGAACACAGAAAAATCTTTGCTAGAAGAGGAACAATCGGAACTTCAAATGGAAGTAAGCAAGTATGAAATAACAAACGATTCGATAAAATCTCAATTGGAAATTGCCAAAAATGAAATGAACGAGCTTAGTGCGGAGAATATTGTTCTACGTAGTAAATTAGAGGAAATTAGAGAATTGGAAGAAAAATTCAATGAAGAAAAAGCTGCTGCCAATGAGTTGTTGCAAAACAAATTTATGGAAACCGAAGCGGAATTGAATAATTTGCGTTTGAAAGAAAAAGAGATTGCCGAAAAGGAATTAAATTTAATGCGAAGCCAATTAATGGAAACTGAAACCGAATTAAATAATTTACGATCGAAGAAAAAAGAGGATCACGACGAGATCGAAGTCTTGAGAAGAACTATAACGGATTTGAATGATCAAATTCGTTTGTCCGAAGAAAAATATAAGCATTTGGAATCTGAAACGAAAGAAAATTCCTTTGAAAAGGAAAAACAAAAGTTTGTCGATAGTTTGGAAGAAAAGAGTCGAGAAAATGAAGAACTAAAAGATATAAATAATAAATTAACGACAGAAATAGCGGAAATGAAAAATCAATTAGAGTCTATCACCGAGTCTAATAAAGAAAATGTTTCTATGGCTAAAGAGACCATAGAAAGTTTGTCGAATCTTATCAAAGAGAAGGACAATGAAATAGAATCTTTGAAGATGAACAATGAAGCTAACGCAGTTGATTCGAACGATTTTCTTACTCTTAAAAATGAAAGGGACGAGCTCGTAAGATTGGTTCAAATAAAACACAACGAGAGTATTCAGTATCACGGTGAAATTCAAAGATTAACTCAACTCTTGAACGAGCAAGTGTCTCAAGCTCGAAATTTGTCGATTGAGCAAAATAAAATGGCTAATTTGTTAAATGACAAAGACAAAGAACTTGCAGAAGCTAGAAACGAATTGAAAATTCAACTAGAACGATTAGAAAATATTCAAAATGTCGATGATAAAGGAGAAATTTGTAGAATCCCGGGTCATTTGACTCAATTACAGGAAATGGACATTCTTAATGATAAATGTAATGCATTGGAAGCTGCCTTGATTCAAGAACAATCCAACAATAGAATGTTACAAAATCAATATGACGAAAGTCAAAGTAAATTAATGAATTCGGCCAAAGAAATAGACAGACTTAGGACGCATTTAATAACAATCGAAAACAGTTACACGGAAGAAACTTTGAGGGTCGAGGATATGCGTAAAGAATTGGAAATAAAATTACTGCAAACCGAAGAGAAGCTTAAAAATTCATCAACCGTGTACACCTCCGCGAGCGTAAGGGCGAATCAAGAAATAGAAACTTTGCAACAACAAATGTTGCTTATAGTCCAACAAAGAGACGACATACAAAACAAATTGTCTATGGCGGAGGATAAAGTTTTGTCGCAGACCGCTGCTCTGACTAATTTGCAAATAGTTTTAGAACAATTCCAAAGAGGTATAAAAAATGTTTTCCTTAATGCAATCATTTTCGAACTGCAATAATGATAGCTATTAATTTTATTATTTTAGAAAAAGAAAGGGATATCAAAAGAGTTACGGAAAAATTACAAATGCAACTTCGAGAGTCCCATGAAAAACAAGACGAATTATTAAATGAAATCTCCTGTCTCAAGGTTTGTCTTACTCTTTTCTCCGCAAATTGATTTATACAAAATATAAAATGATTATTTAATTGAATAAATAAATATATACACACATACGTGTAGGAACAATTAGTGGAAGCTCAGGAATATTTGCTAGCAGCGTCTAGATTAAGCGAACAACTGGATAAGAAAACGGAAAGAATAGATCAATTAAATCGAGAAGGTAACTTTTTAAAAAACTACACATTTTTCCTATTTTTGTTTGCATCTTGTTCTTTACATTTATCGCATAGTTAGTGTTTTGACATTTTTGGATAATTTTACACGAATATTTATATTTTCAAGATTGTATGCTAAGCAATTGTAAAAGACCTACTATTTCATATTTATATTCAATAATTATTATTTGTTCTACGATATTTATTTTTTGTTTATTTTTCTTACTTATTTCTTTTTTTCTTTTTTTTTTTTAAATACATAATTGAACCTGGCACATACATTATTATATGCTTGTAGGATTTTGGAAAATAAATATATGATCGTCGGTAATATACTTGGGTCTCTCCCCACTAAAACGTTATTTACAGAACTTCAATATACTCAAATTTGATAATAATAGCGACAAGAATCAAAACTACATTACAATCATCAGTTTGACTGTGTATGCTGTGACTAATCTGTGAAAACAATTTACACATATATATAATATCTGGTAATGTAGTCAAATATCAGCTGGTAATTCTGGGATTAAACTGTAGCCCAGGATTCTTGCTGGTATCCGGCTACGAACCAGACCCCACCGCCTTTGCACACTAAATCACATCTTGGTTGGCTCATGCGCATTGCCCCACTGGTGCTGGTGCTCCTCTTCTTTCATTTTATTTTTATTTTATTGTGAACACTTTCTTCGCTGATTTTTGAAAATTTTTTATTTTCTTTTTTTTTTTTTTTTTTTTACAGAAAGATAAAAAATACTGACATTGTAACACAATTATAATTTTATTATTTCTTTATAAATATATAAAGATATTTCTCTCTCAAAAAAAAAATTAATAAAATGTATAAAGATACCTTGTATTTTGCAGCTTTGCTAGTCTTCCAAGACCTTTATATTTTACCAATACTCAAAAATGGCTTGATATATATATATATTTGATATAACACCATATAATTATGAAAAATTATTTTTAGTACGCATGCTACACGAGCAGAAACAAAATAATGTAGAGAAATGAACATTTTTTTAATTATTAGATACATCAACGTATTATTTTATATTGAAATAATTAATTGGATATTAAAAAGTATAGGTATTCTATAATAGATCCATGAAAATCATTGTAAACCTTGTATTGAATTATTTCAATATGTATCATTTAAGATATACGAAAGAATTAAATTAAATATAAATATAATTTCCCCAAAATTATCTAAAAAAATATCTGACATATTAATATAAATACATTAATATTCTTCTGGTGTATATTATATATAACATCAAATTATATATTGTTAGATATCGTAGCATAGAAATGCATAATGCTTTGAAATAGATAGATTTATAAAAACATGTAAAAAACATAAACTTGGTAACGTGGAAGTGGGTAATCTCATGCGGTAACCGTGAGTGTGTAAAATGTAAAAGCTCATATTACCTCGTGGGGTTTCCCACCCGTTACTAATATTCTGCAGAAAAAAGGAACTAAATTCTAAATTTATAATTATTCTCTTTATTCAAATCATAAATTAAATATTTATATTCTAAATCTTTAGATTATAGAGAATTATAATTTCATACGCGATATATATCTAAAAGTAGTTAATATATTTAACACGTTAAATGCTATGCCTGGTATTCCTACAGTCCACCAACTTTACCGAAACTTTTATGTTTTTTTACGGCTGATGTGGATCATCCTAATTTAAATAAAAAGCTCAACAAAAGAGGCTAGGCGCTTAACGTGTTAAAACAGCTTCCTTATACTTTTAGTAGCATGTATGAAAACATTAGTTTGCTAGAACAGCATGATAAACGAAGAGAATGCAGCATGTGCAATTAAGATGTGGGTGTGAGTATTACATCAGGTACTGGTGTAATAACAAAACTACCAGTACTTGTGTTATACTTGCGCTCATGTCTGTTCAGCGTACCAATCTGCCAACTTTACAACGTCTCAATGAATGCACATGCATACAAAAACCAAAAATCTTTTTTCCTTTTTTTTACAAGGAACGTTTCTTATTGTCTATTTAATTACAATATTTATTCTATTTAATTTGGATTGTTAATATAAAAAGAAATCAATATGAAAAGCATTCGTTTTGTACTAGTATGATAATAATTAATATAAAACGTATAATAGTAAAAAAAAAAAGTAAACATAATTGATTTCGATTATTAATTTCCAGTTGAAAGATTAATGGAATTGGAAAATACCGCTGAACGAAGAATAGAAGAAGCAACGCAAAGTGGAGTAGGAAAAGTTGACAAGTGAGTACATTATTTCTAAATTATATATCGTCAAATGAATATTTATAATAAATTATTTTTCTTTAGGAATCTTATTAAAAATCTCTTGCTTGGATATTTGTCGTCGTCAGCAGCAGACAAATCATCTGTTCTGAGAGTAATTGCCACGGTATTAGATTTTACAGAAAATGATAGAGACAAAGCTGGTATTAATAATGTAGTTGCAAATAACAGTTGGTTTTCGCGTTTTGGTGGAACTGGTACTCCAACTAAGGCAAGTATAGAATTTTCTAGATTTTTCTATCAAATTATTTCAATATAATTTCTATTTATAATAAATATATTTATTTATTTATTATAGGATCAAGAAGCTTCACTGTCAGCTGCATTTGTAAGATTTTTAGAAAGTGAATCTAAACCGAAACCTCAATTACCTGCTTTGCCAATATCATCGTCGGTAAGATAAACATATATGTATTTATATTTTCTGTCAGATATCTTATATATAAAAAGTAAACTTATCTTTTTCAACGAAATAATATATTTTTAGTCCTCACCTCGACCAACACATAGCAGACAACATTCAACTTCTTCTAACCATTCAACATTATTGCTTTCCAATGTTACATTACCAACATTCCCCGACTTTGTTCCAGCAAGAAATACAGGATCCATTCTGAAAGAAGTATTAAAAGACAGCTGATATTAAAGTTATCTATGCAGTAGTAATATATACACTGCAAAAACAGCATTGCATTGTAAAATTAAAGGAAAAAAATACAAGCTATAAAATATCTTATCTATTATCGAGCCTAACTTTTTATTCGGACATTGATATATTGTAATATAATTGTGCTCTAAAAAGGAAAGAAAAAGAAAAAAAAATAAGGAAAGATAAACTGCCTTAGTATGTTTGTGCTGCATTTATCGATAGCTTGATCAAATCAATTCCTATAATCTAAGTGGAGGAAAAATATTATACTTTAACGAAGGATTTTCCATTTGTGATGCGAGATTCTTTCTATGGAAAAAAAAATAAGCAATAAAAAGTAAAAAACTTATATATGTTGAAAATATTTTTAAGGAGACGCCGAAAACAATTGTTCTTAATTGATTTATATTCGTATAAGAACAATATTCATTAATTTAAATTTCCAAATTATTTCTATTAAATAATCATAAGCTTGTATAAATTTTAATCGTATCAATTAAAATGAATATAATTATTTAAAGTGTCTCCTAATGTAATATGATACTCGATTTACTTTATTTAATATTAAATTTGATTGCATGTTGTACATAAAGACTACGTTGTTGAAATTGCACATATATTAAGAAAAAGAGAAAGAAAAGAAAGAACAATAAATATATTTTGTTGTCTTACATACCTTTTCGTTGTCCTCAACAATAAACAATAAAACTTTGTATGTATTTGTTAATATAATAAATTATGTTAATGTATTTGATAAAGTAACTAAATGTAAGACTGTAACATATCGAGTCGAGTGTGAAGTATGTATTAAATTTTGTCGAATAAAAAAGCGCGCTTAGAAAAATGCGCGTCATGGATATTCAAAACTATTTTAGCGTTGCAAAAATTCTGTGATTTTATATTGAATTTTGAGGCTTTTAGAACGTAAAAATTAAACAATATAAATGATGTATCAATTTTTGTAGTATTTAATATTAATAATAATATTATAAAAATATGTATAAACAATTTTGCGTAATATTTTATTTATAATATTTATAATATTATTTATATTATATAATGTAGTTCCAATGAAATTTAACAGATGGCGCAAGTCCACCATCCGATAATTCTATTCGCTGATTGGCTGACTTAATTCTGACATCAAACGATATATCGAAATATATCGCGTAGTAAATCGATACTGTAATTTTCTTGCCTGCAATGTGCCCAGCTGGCAATTGTCAAATACGTTTAAGAAATAAGTTCAAATAATAAATAGTGTTTAATTATGGAGGGTGATCGTACAAAAAACACTGATTCGCAGTTTATTTCGTTCCATGATTTCTCTACGATGAATCAACAAAGCAACGTTGGTCAAGCACAACTTGACATTGGTGCTTCCACTCATCAAAATTTTAATAATTTACCTAATGATTCTACAGGAATCGGTATTCTTGAAGATCTAGAAGGCATCCCCAACAGAAATGAAGGTTAACGATTGATGTAACATGTTTAAATATTAATTTAATATACTATCTCTTATAAATATAACTTCAACAATGTTGTATTAAACCAATTGATAAAAAGTCAAAATCATTTTTGATGTATTATTGTTAACTGTTGTCTTATTCTTTCAGTGGATCAATCCCAATACAGTTTTTGGACTTTAGAATACTATCAAAAGTTTTTTAATGTTAATACAAAAGATGTAATAGAGCGTATCAAAAGATCAATGTTTCCGCATAGTACAGAAAATTATTTGGTTACGCACATTAGACCCAATCCAGACTTATATGGTCCATTTTGGATATGTGTTACTTTAGTATTTTCTGTTGCAATAAGCGGTAATATGGCTAACTATTTACAAACAGCCAGTTCTAGTCATTATCATTGGAGATATGACTTCCATGTAATCTCCTATGCTGCTACTTCGATATTCTTATATGCTTGGTTATTACCGCTTGCATTATGGGGCGCATTGAAGTGGACAACGAGTACAAGGAATACAGAAGAAGAATTGATAGAAGTAAATCAACTTATTTTTTATCTCATATTTTTCTAAGCGATGGTAAAACATAAATACAAATTCTTTTTTGTTTTCAGTCATACGCATCTCCAGGGCTTTTGGAGCTCATATGTCTTTATGGATATTCTTTGGCCATCTACATTCCAGTTGCATTCTTGTGGACGATACAGATCGGTTGGTTACAATGGATTTTAGTAATAGTTGCCACTTTTATGTCGGGTGGTGTTTTACTTCGTTCATTGTATCCAGTTATATCAGGTAATAAACAAGTTTTATATTTATAAATATTTGTAGTATCTAATTATTTATTAAAAATCAATGTTACAGGAAAGCATAGAATCATATACATCACCATTATCCTTGGTATGCATCTTCTTCTGGCGACAGGCTTTATGATATGTTTCTTTCACGTGCCATCTAAAACCTCGCCGCAACACCCTATAGAAATCTTATCTTCCACGTTACCGTCTACAGGAAAAATGCAGATATTGATGGAAAAGATAGTGTCTAATGCGACGGAAAATACATTGCATGTGAAAAACAAACTTTTACATCTTTCGCAGTCTACCACTGTAGCGCAGGTCACGTAAAAATTCGTATTTAGTAGATTTGTGCTAGAAAGCGGGTATTGTATAAATATGATGGACATTGTATGTATGGTGTTTGTGTTACTAGGACGCAACCTTGCACGCGTAAAACCACGGCGAAATATACCCGCATGCAATGTGTTAAAATTTAAAGAATTTTGCGAGACGATGATCCGTTTATAAACATAAGTATAATAAACGTATTCGAATGAATCGTACAAATCGCACATCATATTAAAGAAAATTTACAAAAAATTATAAAATTTTATGTTTTTAGAGAAAGAAAAGATAGATCTTGTTTGTACTATACTTTTAAAAATCAGTTATACAAATAATGAAGTATAAAAAAAAAAGACAATTAAGAAGCTAAACTCCAGAATTCCTTATACCATATTAATAATTGTTTTGATACGACAAAGTATTTACCCTTTTTCGTAATAAGTATTTCTATATATATATACATACACCCACACATAGACACACGCATATATATATATATTTAATGTTTAGGAAAAAAAAGTGAATACGAACTTTAAAGTGTTTGGTTGATTTATTTGGCAACCCTACTGTTTCACAAAGTAGGGACGCATTTACATCAACGTAACACATATCAATCACGATCATACGAATCTTCATGTTGTACATAGTAGTGTGTCATTGGTATATATATATTATATATACATAATAATAATAATAATAATAATGATAGTAATAATAGATTACTTATATATATATTACTAATCGTAAGTAATTAATATTTTGTTCATTCCCATTAACCAGTGTGACAAAGGCAACATTTATTTTGTAGTAGTAGTATCGTTACGTTATTATTATCATCAAGTATGTATTAATACTTAATAAATATATATATATATATTTAATTAATTATCCTCGCGATATACACAAACTTATGTGTATATATGTATACCGTGTTAATAATTAATCTTTTTGTTACTAGTGACCCATATACGGGTCACCCATGGATGAACGACTAACCCATATAAAGGTCGTATATCATCCAACGATACGAGCAAACGAAAGGGTTAATTCCTTTTAACCCAATTATATTATTATTGAGCCTTGCAATAAAACAAGTATATCGCGTTGGTATATATACTATATATATTAATTATTAATATACCAATCATCTTTTCCCCCCTCATTTAATTACTTTGACTACATTTCGATTAAGTCTCGTAACACGACCGATTAACTTTTTTCAGAGAGGGTCACTTTTCTATTTTTATTTCTTCCCATTCGTACAAATATTCTATTCATCTAAGAAATAAATACCATGACTTTTGGAGAAAGAGAAACAAAAAATATTATAAAATATATATATATCTACATTATTTTCATACGTTCGAATATAATTTGCAATTATTTCTTCAAACTTTATGTAGTAACAATAAGAATAATCTAAAAGCATTAAAATTAACTCGTGAAACCTTTATGGTGTTATGAACAAAATTAGTGCCGATTTTTGGTGACCCTCTGCCATGGCATTCAACGTTATATAAATCGCAACGTCTACGAAAAGTCTTTCGTTTTACAAGCCTCTCATCGATGTGAGCGTCTTCAAATGTTTCTTATATAAAATACAAAAAATTCTCTATGAGTTTTTTAAAAGCCTAAAATGTTTAAATAATGCAAGAGCCGAGTAACCATCGAAATACTCTCGCACTTGCTATGCAAATACACCATGCATCCCATCGCATCGTCCCCGTTCGTTTCTTCGAAATAACGCGAATTTTCTTTCTATAATTTGTTTAATATGGTAAGTGGCAGGTCGGTAGTTTTACCCCTGAAACATGATTACACTTGTGACACCGCCATTATTTGTCGTCTCGGTTGCGGTCAATTAGGCGCAATATGCACAAGAAAAAAAAAAAATAAGTAAAATACAAATATAATTAAAGTGATTTTTTTTTAAATATTAATAATCAAACGAATAAAGAAAAAATTCCTTTTTCTTATATTTCATGGTGTTCGACAGCAAGTTATCGATAAAACGTTCGAGTTTACGGCTAATGCTCACAACGATTTTGGTCCGACTTGGTGATTATTAATTATTATTACTTTTTTTAAGTTTCCTTTTCTATTTTTTTTTTTGCTCGTTTACTTTTTTTATAGTTTCATTACGTGATATTACAGTCAAAGATTGCAAATAGGCAGGAGCGTAATCAGTAATAATAAATTCTACGACAGTCTAAAAATTGTGTGTGTGTGTGTCTGACTTTTTTCTTCATCTAAACGATTAAAAATGTTTCACGCAAAGTACACCAGTATTTAAATACACGATCGTAATAATCGTGCACGTGTTTCCTTCAATGGTATATGCACATATTTTTATATATATATGAATGTTTTATATAAAAGTGTGTGCATACATAATTTTTTACATTACATTATTATTTACATTACATTGTGCAACTGGGTATCTACTAATATTAATGATAATAATTTATTATAATGCACAATATTTGTATTTTGTTTAACTGCAATTATTATAATCAGTGCATTCAATGTACAAATCCGAGAAAATGAACACGTCTTTTTCTCCTTTTTTTCTAATTTGCACGCGGGCGTTTTTAAAGCATTACACACAGATACAATAATTATAATTATAATCTTAATAATAATAATAATGATAATAGTAATAATAATAATAATAATAATGAAATTGGTTGCTGTTACCCTGGTATTTAGTTTAAATTGATTATTACACGTTTTACAGTATACGTATATCGATAATACACGTAAGAGTATTGGCGTGTGTGTGTGTATGAGTGTTATTTTTTGTTCTCTTTCTTCTTTTGTTTTTAAAATCTATATATATATAATATTATTTGATAATATGTACAATCGGACCATTTTCTAATTTAACTACTAACGCTTGTTAGTTTTTTTGTAATTAATTTATGCGAAAAATGTTATACAATAAAACGTCAGGTTGATTATTCAGTCGCATGATCGATAGTTCGAACGATCGATCGATCAATCGTTCGTTTGATTGCACCAGTCGATAATGTAGTTTTCTTCCTCTGTTATATTTTTTGATTATTTTTATTATTTTGTTACAATTAATGAATTTATTATATAATATTATCGACTCTCTCGTGCAATCTTCGATATAAACTTTCGTTAGTATAGTATGTGTGTGTGTGTGTGTAAGATTAATTTTTTTTCTAATTCTAATCGATTTTAATTTGTTTTTCTGTTTTTCTAATTGTGGTAAATATGTGACAAAAACAGAAATCATTTCTTTTCTTTACATATACGCAGCGTGTAATTACTTGTTCTGTTTTTTTTATTAAATACAATATAAAAATGCCCAATCAGAATGCAGTAGGATAGGAGGAAAGATTTTTATAAGTCTTAGGAGACGCCAATTATTTTTTTAATTATTTCTCTCTATTGTATGCGTTTTTAAGATATGAAAAATTTATTTTTTACACATTAACTATTATTATTATTATTATTATTATTATTATTATTATTATTATTATTATAATTACTATCCTATTACGCGTTCAAAAGGCTTCCTGCAATTTTTATTTTTCTGAATTACGAGAAACTTTCAAAGTCAGGTGTTTCTCTCAAATATTCACAAGTAACTTTTTCTTTTTTTTTAAATTATTATCTATCTTGTCTCTCTCTCTCTCCCTCATTCTATTTCTTTCTAAATACAAAGATGTACTTCATATTTTTTTCAAAATCTTACTTCATAATTGTTTTTTTCTTTGACGAACGCCGTAACTCCGAAACAACCCGCAAAAATTTCCAATTTTCTCGAAAAAAGATTTGCATTATTATTATTATTATTATTATTATTATTATTATTATTATTATTACTATTACTACTACGTAAGAGAGACAGATATCGCGCTAGTATAGATTATTATTATATTTTTAAATAGGAACTCTAGTTAAATTACACGTTGATTAAACTGACTTGAATATTTGAAAAAGAAAATAAATTAATGACAATATATGTAAATTTATAATAATCGATTGGATTCCATTTAATTTACTTTTATATCTCTTACCCATCAAATGAAATAATAATAATAATAATAGAAACAAATATCTCTATCATTTGTTATAACATTTCTATATTCACACGTATGTATTTTATTATAAATAATTATTAAATTTCATTTTATATAAGTCAGTTCAATCGTACGTTTGAAAATCTTCATTCTCTACGTTTCATTTTTTTATTTTTTTTTATTTTCAGTCAACAAAACCAAACAAAAAAAAAGAAAAAGAAAAATGTAATCTAATCGCAAACCCTCTCTGATCCTTTAAGCACGAATTAATCAATTTCCAATCTCAAAATCGAGACGTACACGATTAATTATTTTTAATTTAATTATTAAAAATTGTTCTTCAATTTATCACCCACCCCCCATTTTAAAATTGTGTTGTGATATGTAATAACTGCGTTTGAGAATCCTTGAGAAAAGAGAGAATCGATCTAAACAATGAACTGTGTATGTGTATGTGTGTGTGTATTTTATCTCTATTTAAATTATTAATATTATTTAACTATATGTACGCGTATGTAATAGTAATAGTCCATAGTAGTAATAATGGTAGTAGTAAGTATATAAGTTATTTTGTTATTTTCATTTACAAACATCGAACTTTTTCCGACACACTTAACTACTTTAAACGGTATAAAAATGTTCGGTCTCTCTAGAATATTAATTGTAATAAAACTTCATTAATTTATCCAAGTGCAAATATGTGTGTAATATATTTGTGTTGTATGTGTGTGTATAGTTTACAAACGAACATCATCAAACCATACTACTACACCACCAATATGCGATTTAAAAGGCGATTATTATTATTATTATTATTATTATTATTATTAATCGACATATAAAATCGATTGAACGGATTTCATTTTCTTTTATTATTATTATTATTATTATTATAATTACGTCATTGGTTTCTATCGGGCAGAGAAAAATGATTTGACGATTGTTTTATTTATATAAATTATTCGTATGTGTGTATGAGTGTGACAAAGAGATAAAATTATTATATTTCTATCATATTTTCTTTCCTTGTTCCACCATTTGAAATAGAAATTACGCGAGGGGAAAAAAAATGACTTTGATTGCAAGCTTATTTAATAACAGGTACTTAATATTCGGTTAAATGTTTTCTCTAACAATATTTCCTATTTAACACACCCACATAAGTATAATTCGTGAACTACCACTTTGATTATTATTATTATTATTATTATTATTATTGTTATTTTAATTTACATAAAAGATTAGCTCACGCAAAATGTGTTGTCACGCGTGTTTTCTTTTAAATCGATATATATATTTAAAAGTCACTTATTTCAAGATTTTATATTGTTATTATTATTATCGGTAATTACAACTATACTACGATTTAATTTGTCTACGTTTTATTTTTCCCTATAAAAAATTACGTATCCAACGCGACGACGAAGCTAAGTTAATAATAATAATAATAATAATAATAATAATAATAATGGCA